ACAAGGGCACTCGATTCCAGCTGTCAGATCTCGAAAGGTCAGTGCCAGGATCAGGAGACAAACTAGAACCCGGGGGCACAGGAGCAGACAAGGAGAACAGGAGACACGTCTTTACACAAAGAGTGGTGGGGGACTGGGACAGGCTCCGAGGCCGTGCCGCTGGCTTGGGGTGGGGGGAGACCCTTGGCTTTCGGCTGTAGCTGAGCTCAGAGCAAACAGGCACCAGTAAAAATGCTGGGCCTTGCTCTCTCAGCTGCCCGTCAATAACTAATTACTCGAGCCTGTCTCCCTCCCTCTGGTGAAGAACTGTGCTGGAAGACTGCACCAGCTCTGAGGGCGCCAATAAAACATTCCAGTGGCACTGAGGCCGCCCCTCTCTCTCGCTCGCTCTTCTGTGAAACAGGAGATTAGCAACAAGACAAATGGGGACTTAAAATAATATTAAAGCCATTTTCTTTTCTGCTTCACCAGCACAATTTGTACAGGAGCCCTGTAGCTGGTAGCAACGCCTGGAGTGGATTAGGCTTCTGTGCACTGGGAGTCTGACTGACAACTGTAAAAACCTGGAGTGGATCAGACCGCTGTGCACTGGGAGTCTGACTGACAGAACTGTAAAACCTGGAGTGGATCAGACTGCTGTGCACTGGGAGTCTGACTGACAGCACTGTAAAACCTGGAGTGGATCAGGCTGCTGTGCACTGGGAGTCTGACTGACAACCCTATAAAGCCTGGAATAAGGAATAAGGCTGAAACAGAGTAGAAAAAGACATCTTTATTTTTGGATGCAGGTACAGTAGGAACTGCTGAGGCTGCAGTGACTGATGTGGAGGGCTGGGGCTCAGCGCTGGCGATCTCAGACTGGGTGTGTGCCTGTACAGGGGAAGGGTTGTACAGCGTGAGGGCGGGTCAGAACCTCACTGAGGAGGCCGAGCAGGTCTGGCACTGCGCTGAGGCAGGGGCTCGACTCAGGTGATCTGTACCCGACACTTGATTCCACAGCTCTGTATAGACTGCCCCTGGTGGAACCCGGGTCAGACCACACCCCACTGCAGTTCCCGAACACAAACAGGAGACCAACCAGCAGGGCGACACCCAGCCCGACAGCCGCGTCAGCGCCATGCCCTTGGAGAGAGAGAGGAAGTGTCTCCCTTCCCCCCTCCTCCTCTCTGTGTCTCTTGTGTTGCCTCTGAACAGAGCTTTGCAAAGGGTTTTAGGGTCCCATACCCCCGTGTCCCCCCCCCTTCTCCCCCCTGTCTCTCTCTTTCCTCCTTGTCTCCGCACTCTCTCCTGTCTCTCTCCTCAGTCTGTCTCTCTCCCATCTCTCTCCCATCTCTCTCCCGTCTCTCCTCTCTCTCCCGTCTCTCTCCCGTCTCTCTCCCGTCTCTCTCCCGTCTCTCTCCCGTCTCTCTCCCGTCTCTCTCCCGTCTCTCTCCCGTCTCTCTCTCAGATGAAGTCCTTGGACACAGCCTCCACGAAGTTGGGGGCTGACATGAGGATGGAGATGGTGCAGACGATGTTGAAGATGCTGAAGGCCACCAGGCAGAGCCGGTCGATGACGGCGGCGGCGAACTTCCACTGCTCGCACTCCGTCTCGCCCTCGTCCTGCTCCCGGAACCGGTCCGCGATGAAGCGCACCTCCTCCAGGATGGCCTGCAGCTGGGGGTCCCCGATCCCGGCCGGGCACACCCCCAGACAGCCCCCGCCGGGCGCCCCCCCGCAGCCGGCGGACAGGGTGCTGCCCCCGCCCACGCTCTCCCCGTTCAGGCTGGGCACCCCCATGGCCTGGAGGTGCGGGAGGGGGCTGCCGAACTGGGGGGGCACGTGGGGCGGCGGGCTCCCGCTGCTCCCGGGCCCGCCCTTCCTGGGGGGCCGCTGGGGGGCCGTGATCACGGGCGGGTCGTCCAGGTTCTGGAAGCCCAGGTACAGCAGGTTCCCGTTATGGGTGCTGCCATGCGAGGGGTGCAGGCCGTGGAGCTGGGCGTGGAGCTGGGCGTGGGGGCTGAGCGAGGGCAGGTTTTGGGGGTGCAGGGGGTGCAGGATGGGGTCCGGGTTGGGGGAGCAGTGAAGGCTGCCCGTCCCGGAGCCCGAGGAGCACCGGCGCAGGTTCGGGGTGCAGGGGGGCCTCTCCGGGAGCCCCTCCTCTCCGGGACGCTTCATCCTCAGGAACCAGGCCACCCACTGGAACAGGATGAGCTCCACCTGGAGAGAGGAGAGAGGGAGAGGGGTGAGAGAGAGAGAAGAGCTGACAGTACAGTGTGTGATCTCCTGTCCCAGCCTGAGGAACAGACAGTGAGCCTGTCTCTCAATAATAATA